GTACAATAATGAAGGTGATATAGAATCAACTCAGAAGTAAATATATTTATATTTATATCCAAACATTAACATCGGTTCAACACTGAACACGGTTCTTCTCCTGTAAACTAGAGATTTCCAATAAAACCATTCAACTTTAAAGATATTTCTAATAAGCACTAACAGCAATAAACACAAAACCCTGACTTTCAAAACCATCAACGTTATTAAGACGATGAGCTTAGAAGGAAATTATTTCTGTATGCAAAAGTAATAACAAAAGATTTGTTCCATGTTCAATTGTCAAGTTGAGTTCTAACAGGGATCACAAATATATTAAAACAAATACAAGCAAAGGTTCTGCAGAGAATTCTGGATGCTACATTTTTTAATCCATAGCAACAGTTTGGCTCCGTCCTCCTTCACATCCAGCCAGTTACCAGAGATACCAGTTTGTTTACATTATCAGGGGACGACGCTGCTCTCTTTGCTTGGTAATGAAGAGCGCTGTGATGCCCACGTAGTTCCCATTACTCAGAGAAGGGCTGTCAAACATTTTCATCCTCTCAACTTCACACAAATGTTGTATTCCTGGCACGATGGTAAAGTCTAAAGAGGTGTCTCCCAATGCAATTCTAACCAGAATGGCTCCTAAAGCCGTCACCGAGGTCCAACATTCCCTTAAATTCAATCAAGCTGCACTGAATTCCCCACACTCACAGACATCAGTTCCCTGAATGTGTCTGATTTCTTTTACATCAAGATCTGTGAAATATTTCCTCACAAACAAACCAACCAACAAACAAACAAAGCAATGGACATGTGTGAAAACAACCTCCTTGGTGAGGGGAATCTTGAAGGGAGTCTTCCATTCTATCAGCAGAAGTTTGTAGATATCCACTTAGCAAAATCATTGAATACCTTCTCATTTACAAGTTTGGTTTTTCACCCATGAGGGGGTTGAGTTTAGCAGCACATAGTGTTAGAAGTCATAGGTCAGTCACCACGGACACAGTTGCATGAAATATTGAAATCTTATCAAAAAGATGAGTTTGACAGCACTAATATTTCCATTTCAGAAATGTCAGAAACACTCAGGAATAAGAAGAGTATGTCATCTTTACTGCCTTTACTTTTGCTGCCATTACCATCTATAGCGTTCTGCGGTGGAAGCTTGTGACAGAAGTAGGTTGTAGAACTAAGTAAAATGATGACAGGTTATGGGAACTTCCTCTGAGACGCGGAGGCCTTCGCAGCAAAGTTTTGAACACTGATTATACAAACCTACAAAAAAAGAGAATCTTTGACATCTCAGATATTTCGGTCTAGGAGGACACAACGACCTTGAACAGATTGGCACTTCACTGCACTCAAGTGCACTCAACGTTGGATCCATTAGAAGACACCTATTTTGTGACATTAATGTAAATCGGGGGACTCACATGCTCACCAGTGTGACCTCATTGTGCAGCAGCTACTTACAGCTCATCTACATCCTCATGGCAACAACATGTGCCACGACCCCTAACATGTTTCTGCTCCAGATATGAGTGGATAAATGTGATAGATGCCAAAAAGTATTTAATGGAAAAAACTAGAGTAGTGGGGGTAAGACTGATCAGCCTAAGGTGATACACATTGATTAACATGCAAGATCCTGATCCAAGGATCTGATTGTGTTGAGCAAAGATCAGTTGGATTTCTATGATGCCAGAATGAGTCAATTAATTTACCAGAATTAGGTCTTGGTATAAAAAACAGGTATTGGAAGAATAAATTACCAATTTCAACTGAGTTGAGAAACAAACTGGGCAGATTTTCTGAAGACTAGAAGATGCTGGTGTTTCCAATGTGAGTCTGATGACAAGGTTTATTAGTCTCTTATCTCTTACTGTGCTTTACTAACTCCTCATCAAACCCACAGAGTTGGATGCTGCCTTTAAACCTACAAACCATTTATTTATGGCATTAAAACACTTTGGGGTGATCAGATCATGCTTGACCACATGGAAGTACAGGTGTAAATGGATCAGAGAAAGCCTAACGACTATTTGAGCAAATATAAAAATGACAAGCTGGTAGCGGAGGAAACAAAAGCAAAGTGCTTTATCCTGGTCGGACTATACATTTTCCGGAAGACTGAGTATTTTAAAC